CAACACTTCCCCATTTCTACACTGAGAGAAAAACAAATGTTGAGTCTTTCTTTTTTTCCCCCTTTCCTTCTGTTTGAAACATTAAGAGCCCTTCACACAAAGCAGCTCAAGTGCAGAGGAATTAATTGGGGAAATTAGGTTGTGTTGTATTTCTGGCATTTTCTCAGAAATGGTAATTGCCCTAATTCTCCACCCTGCCAAGACCTCCACCAGCACCCTGTTTCCCCCCTCCCCTTTTCCTCACTGTCTACCTGTCTTTCTCCTGCTTGAGTTGCTGTTTTCATGCTGTTGCCATTTATTTTATTCCGGTAATGAGAGGGATGTGGCAGGTGAAGAGCTCTCACAATCTGGTGACATCTTCTTTGAAGCACAGGCACAAAAGAGCAGTTTGTTTGGGGGAAAAAAAACCCTCCCTGCTATGGTACTTGACCTCCACACTCACCTCTTCTCCTGCTCGGGATATGTTCCTGCTGCATTGCAAGTCATTTGGCTGAGATTTTTTGTTTAATGTAGTCTCAATATTCACCCAAACACTGACCTCCACGCTTAACCCTTCTATGTTTCCCCCAAACCACCCAAACCCTCACATACTTACTGAGAGCTAATCAAACTTGCGATCTTTCAATCAAAGTTCAGCCCCATTCCCAGACATTTGAATCGAGGCTTTTGCTTTCTCCCAACCATTGAACTGAGCTCCAGAGAGCTGGGACTTTCAGTTTAGCTTCCTGATGGTTTTTAACCCCTGACCTTCCATTTGCGGAGGTCATAGATGTAGCCAACTAGGGAGGAACTGTTGGTTGTTCAGCATTTCCTGACCTAAAACACCTGGTGATGTTCATGGCAGGTTCAGATCCAACGGAGATGCTACAGTGGGTAGTAAAGTGTTGGGACTCTTTGTCTCAGGAGATGGTAGGTGCCAACAGCTGAGATGGGTTGAAAAAGTGATTGAACAGAATTGTGGAAGAAAAGTAATCTATGAGGGGCTAGCAAATGCAAAATACTGCCCCTGTGTCAGGAAATCCCTGTGCCACTGGGTTTATTGAGGACAGGAAGACTATTGTGGGACATACACTGTGGGCTCTTCTCTTTCCATACTGTCCCCTATGCATCTCGGACTGAGGTTGGGGTCCCAGCTGACTGGTCTTTGGTTGTTCTTAAAAGTTGTCCAGGCTGATCTCTGCTTTTCTGGGAGCTGGGGAGAGTACTGGGAGTAACCAGTCAAATGCTGGACCCAGCTGATGGGTCGTGACACCATCTCCATGAAGTCAGAGCTTCAGTTCAGTCCAGAAAGCTGAGATTGTTTCTCGACATACCCAAACTACACAAGCCTGTTCACCTCTGCTGTGAAAACTTGATCAGCAAATTTCCTTCAGGGATTTCAGGAGCCCTTTCCTTCAAAGCAATTTCCTTCCCATAAAACTTAACTAGGGAGGGCAGGACTTTTTTCCATTTTCAGTGTACCCTGGGTGAAGCCAGCAAATCCAGAGAGGCAAGAGAAGCTACTTGTGATCCCCACCCATCCTTGAGTAGTTCCCCTCTCCCCATCCTTGACTGTGAAACTGTTTTTACCCCTGTTCTAATTTGTATTGTCCAAGTGTGGTCCCCAAGTGAACATCCACCTGCTAGAGGCTGCCTGCATGTGACGTGCTCCCTTCCCCCCGCTGTCCCCTCTCTGAATATCCCATTAGCCTGAAAGCTGTGAGATCCATGGAAAAGAGCACAGTGCCTAGTTTTGAGCCAGAGACACTCTCCCATGCTGGAGATCCATCATCCAAAACATGTTCCTCTGTGGTATCACCAGAAACAAGGAAGGATTTTGTACAGAGCGGGCCAGAGAAGCTGATGGTTCCTGGCTTTTACCAAGGTGGCCCGATTTAAACTGTAGACTGTAGCTAGAGCAGAGGAATGTGGAGAACCATATGCCTGTGAGCTTCATTATTCTAGCCCCAGGTGGACCAGAAACTGTGTGTGCTCCTGAGTATATGGAAACAAACCGTTCACGCTTTGGAAGGAACACTGCCACTTACAATCAGGGAGACTTGGATGTGTAAAACCCTCCTCTCTCACCTTATCTAGGTTGTTGGACCCATTTCCCCTCTGCATCCCAGCTGGCCAGTGGCCTCCTCCTGCCTTCCCACCTGCAAGACCACGATCTCAGCTCTCCGTTACCATGGGGACAGCTATGAGATCACACATCAGTTAGGAAAGGCGGGGAGCATCCCCAAACCTCAGTGCGATCAGCAAAAGAACTGGAGGCAGAGAAGTTATAAGCCAGTTTAGTGGGTGCATGGATAAATTATGCCTTGCTTCAAGACAAACTGAAGACCTCCCTAGAAAAATTAAGATGCAATCATCGTCCTCCTTAATTAAGATGTTTGCATGGAAAGAAACCATTGCCTTTCTTTTTTTCTCCTGATTCCTGCATGGTCAGAGTTTCCGCAGGCTTTCCCCTCCTGATCCGCTCCTGTTCATAGTCCTGCCTCTCACAGCCACAGCAAGCTCCTTCTCCACGCCAGCTGGATGGAGAAAGCCCCTATTTGCAAGCAGCTGTCTTTAATAAACAGCCTGTTTAGGGCTAGGCTGTCAAAGACAGCGTGTTCAATGTACAATCAAGGGGCAACGATGCACAAAATTGCACATACACACACAAAATAGGAATCTTTTCTCGGTGTGTGTTGAGCTTTGAACGCTTAAGTGATTCCACCTCTCTCTTCCCCATCCAATTATGCGGGCAATACATGATAAGATTGCTAAAGGAATTAGTGAGGGAAATCTTTACACTGCCTAATCAATATTGTTCTGCTCAGTACAAGGCATCTCCCCCCCCTCTGGCCCCAGTTGTGTTCTCATTTGCCCTCTGAAAACACAAGTTCACCTTTGCGCTATTTGGGCTGTAGAGACCAAGAGAAAAATCAGCAGCATGTCTGTTGAAAATGTTTGTACTTACAGAGTTTCTTCCTTGCATTAAAAAAAAAAAAAAGAGAGAGAGAGAGCAGAAAAAGATGTAATACAGCCCTGCCAAAAGCATGTTTCAGGGTTTTAAAGAGGCTTGCTGTGCAGGCCAGACAGACCTTTCCTCTTTCAATTGTACGGCCTTACAGAAATGGCCAGCAACCTTATAAGCAAAGACACTGGATGATAATTTTTCTGAGCATCACTGAGGCAAGACGCCAGATTTTATGGGCCACTAGACTGATCCAATATAGCAAATCCTGTGTTCCACTGTGGATTCTGAGACCAAATTATCAATTAATGTGAAGCATTAAAAAATCCAAATCCCTTTTAGTTCCCTGCAGTCATTAGTGACAAGATACAATATCTATAGCTCAAATGCTTTGCCAGCATCCCCTGGCAGCAAGGCAGAAGCTCCACTCCTATTTTTTTCCAATACATACAAGAAAAACATATGAGATCAGTGTTTTTTACAGTCAGATTCGGCTGCCTCTTCATATTTACTTAGACGGAAGAATAAATCAGGTTTGGGTTACTCTCTGGGTTAGTTATTTGTTATTGGAATAAATGCATGGTAATAGATCTGACAGAGGAAGATGTTTCTCTTTCAGCTCTGTGTTTGAGGTAGGATTTGCTTTGTTCTGCACTATATTATATTGATGTTTTTTTTTCCACTGCTGGATGACTTCATTTGCTCTGCTTCTTTCCAATGGCCATACCTCTGCCACAGCTGGCTTTAGGATGCAGCCTGATGCGATAGATCTCTGTTTTCTTTTTCCCTAACTGTAACATTGTAATGCAGAGGCAATTTAAACAACCATCATGAAACAATTTTCTAAGCCTTTCCCCCACCCATTTCCTACCTCAATGTTTTGGGAAGGGAGGTGAGGCAGTCATTCGCGGGGCAATTCCCCAAGCAGAATGAGCTGTCAGCTACATTTAGCAGCTCAATTTTCACCTCTGGTGAGGGGTGGGAAGGCGCCCGGGGTGATGACTAGCTGGACACACCCCGAGGCCGTATTTTTGGTACTCCCCGGGCAGCTGTCAGCCTGAGCTCCTAAGCAGCACAGCCAGAAGCCTCCAAACCACCGTCCTCACCAACTGCCCTTCCATCTTAGGATTTTGTCTCCTTTTTGTCCCAGTGGGAACACGAACACCTTACTAGAAATTCAGCGGACCTTAGGCTCATCATTTACTCTTAATTTGCACACTGAGATCCCTACCCCTTCTCCTCCTCCCCGTTCCCCAAGTCTCTCCTACTTTGATACACTGGAAAACGTAGTGCTGCATTTTCTGCTCCATCATTTTGCTTCCCTTGCCCCCTCCTAAGGGTTCAGTTTTGCGAGTGCTGGCAGCTTTGCAGGTGACTGGAAGCCATGAGATGAGGTTTTTTCTTTCTCTCCCAAGCTGCAACAGTACTGTAGGACAAAGACTTTTGGGGAAGCATAGGGTAATGTACCAGGTTCTTCACTGGGACATTTGGCCAGCAATGCCATTAAGTCTGGCTAGCCCAAGCTTGCTTGAGTAAAGACATCAGGCCTGGGTCTTCTCTTGCTGGCAGAGGCAGATGGGTCCCTGTACCGTGCCCAGGAGGGCTGGCAATGGCCAAGGAGCAGGATGCTTAAGTGCAACATACAGAGGAACCACTCAAGCCTTGTAAAACTTCTGTCTGAGAGGGAACTCTGGATCCCCCAAGGGATGTAGCTTCACAGTCCATGGAGAAGTTTCAGGAGGCCAGAGCACCCTGTGACTCTCATCCAGCACCAGTGCTCGCCCCTCGCCCTCCCTCTGCACTGGTGCGGGTGACGGTGTGGGGTGCAAGGTAGTGGTGACCAGGGCCAGAGGGTCTCATCTGCCCCGTGCCCTCACAGCAAGGGTTGTGCAGTGTTGGGATGTTGTAGCCAGTGAAAGACATACGGTTCAGTTAAAGACATACCCTTTCCCTTCTTGTCCCCTTGCTTCATCCCCCCCCATCCCTCCCTCCCTCTCTCACCCTTCCCTTCTCTTTTGTTTGTCTCCTTCCCTTGTTTTCACCCATTCACTGTCAGGAAGGGCCGCGTCCGAAGGGCCAGTTCAGCGCAGCGTGGCAGCGACAGAGACTGGCACCGCCGGCAGCTGCAACAGTGAGTGGATCTCGACCCCTGGGGCAGCTGGAAGCGGGGGACTGGTGCCGCTTGAGCATGAAAAGACACGTGGGGTTGAGCGGCTTTGGGACTAGGTCGGGTCTAGTGCGTTTGGCAGCAAAGGGGCTCTCGTGTGTGATGGGAACCGCACATGTTTCTACCATAGCGATTCTCTGGGGCTTGTCTGTATGGTGAGATAATACGGGACGAATGCAAAAGTCCTCAGTCCAATCGTCCTCCGTGGATCTTTGGGCTGTGTCTGCACTAGTGGACAGCACGGGCTGTCCTCTGGCTCTGAGGGCAGCGAGCTCAGCATGGTTTGTCTCTGTGCAGCCAAACCACTCTGTGCCTCCAAGCAGGGTGGCATTTGCACTGCTCACCGGGGACTGTCCCTGACTTGTGTTGTCCTCTCAACACTTGTTTGGATGCTGTCAAACTGGCATAGACTAAAACCAGACCATTTGAACAGTTGGACTGTCACATGCCAGCCCTGATGCCTTTTGTTTGCTAGTCTAGACACAGCCTCGGTGTCTGACCGGTTGGGTGCTTGCAGCTGCGACTGAGTGGATGTCAACCATCACTGCTCCCCTGCTGCTCCCATCCCTTGCCCAGAGGAGTGGCAGTGAGGGATTGGTGTGAGTTTGATGTTCTGACAGTGCAAAGGAGTTTGGGTTTGCCAAGGTGGTGGCTGACGGGAGCTGTGTGAGCCAGCTGAGGGCTGGTAGCACCTCTGGTCACCCTGCCCTCCCTCCCACAGAGGCCGTCATCCTGTTGTGCTCGCTGCATGCCGGAGCCTCTGTGTAGGGATGCTCAGCCCAGTGGGTCCCCAGCTGTCACAGCATCCCAGAAGCCACTGCCAGCAAGCTGCAAGGCTGCTGGAGGTGAGCTGCAGAAACCTGTGAGAGAGGCAAATGCTGAACTTGATTGTCCTGTGTGGTTTTGCTGCTGGCACACAAGGAAGTGCTCTGTTGATCCAGAAAGTTGGGGAGCCTTTGCTTGAGTCTGTTTTGGAAGTCGATCGAGCTAATCCACCCAAAGACACTGTCTATGCAGAGCAGTTATGACCCCTTGTACGTTAAGGCAGGAAAGTGACGTTTTTCACACCTTATTTCTCAACAGCTTCCCTGTGCCAGCAAGCCCAGAAAGACAGGCATAAATTTCTGCAAAGCAGCTGTGACTGGGACAAATTGCTGGGGTCCAATTAGCCAAGCCTCCCTGTGGCATTGCTAGGGGAGGTGTATGCTCCTGGCCAGGTGATGAAGGACTAGCTGTCCCACCACCCAGCCTCCTCCCAGCATCACCACCACTCCTCCTGCCCCAGCAGCGACGGGGATTAACCGAACGCCTACGCGGTGTTAAGCAGCTGAGTGGATCTCACAAAGCCCTCCTGGGAGCTGTGAAGGAGCAGGGCTCTGGCAGTTCCTGACTGTTGCCAGAATCACACGGGAGTGTGAGTTTAGGTATCGCTGATTTTACAGGGGATATGTCAGCAGATAAGAAGATGTGCCACCGAAAGGTGATTTTGTTACGTTTATGCCTTTCTGAGCCAAAATTGAATTGCAGGGTGTGGATGGGAATTTAGTTCTAAGCACTGATGTAATTTTGTATCCTCAGCCCTGAAGGCAGTTTTTAAAAAATTATTTTCCCCTGTGCCCTGACACTATTTTTTTGCCTTTCAATCATGTCCTTATGACAGAACAAATACTGGGGTTGACCTTTGCAATGTGACATAATAATATGTGACTTCTTTATAGCTCTTTTCATCCAAAATGCTTGGCACACTATGAATCTGATCCTGCAACCGCTTACCACTGGGCTTAACACTCACTGCTCCAAGCAATCCCTGGGGAAGCCAGAGGAGCACTCTCACACAGAAGTGCTATACCTGGTATTATTTGCAGGATCAGGCCCTGGAGAAATGTAGCACGTGCCTGTGAATAGCCACATTTTTGAAAGAAAAAGCCTTGACCTCTCATTTATGATTTTTATTTACTATCAGAGTGCCATGCCCAGAACTAACATGACAGCCTCCCCTTGGCCAAAATGTCATGGCAGGTAATGCTTGGGTCATATTTATAGCTATTGTCTACAACCCTGTTGCTTCTTTTTATTATTTTTTCCCCAGCTCTGAAAGCATGCTAATTAATAAACTCCCTTGGCTTATCCTGCACCATTTGATCCTGCAGAAATCACAGTATTTTATCTTATTAGCAAGTCGGAATTAAAGAATTAAAACTACTCAGGGGAAAAAAGGAACGTAACCACTTTCCCTGTGCATCCCTTCTGAAACAACCTTGCACTGTGCCCTCAGAAACCCCAAGCTCAGTCCCTTGGCTCGTCAGAGGACAGGAATCCCAGACCAGTGAATGCTTGGGCTGAAAAGTACTTTCTGCTTTGCTATTCCTGTTCTGAATGGCAGAGCCCAGTTAGGTGCATTGAGAAGAGTCCAACAGTGAGATCGCAGCCTTGAACTGGGCTGTAGTTCCCTTCCATGCTACTGATGTCCTCGGTCACCATAGGAAATTCAGTTAGTCCTTCTGTGCCTCAGTTTCCCATTGTGAAAAGGTGACCCCTACTCATCTTCATCGAGGAGGTGATTGACATGAAAAAAAGATTGCAAGGCACTCAGTGACTATGGTGTTGGGAGACAGGTAAGTACATTAGAAATATGTAGGGAACTGGTGAGCTGAGACTCTTGTGGTACTGGTTCAAGGACAGTGAATTTTGGAAGTCCTCAGTAGCTGGAAAATGCAAAGAGAGAAGCAGGTGGGATTCTTGCACCCACCTCTGCTTGGTATGTTCAGGATGGGCAGAACCAGGAGAACAACCTGCTTCAGCTTCTCAGCGATAGGAAGTGGTTGGGGATGGAGACCCGCTAGCCATCAGCAGATATCCACATGCTTCGCCGTTGTTGGCCATCAGTAGAGCATTGCATCTCCCCTCCCCACCCTTAAAAAATAAATTCATTAGGAGTAGAGAGGGCTGGAAGGGATTCCCTGGATCATCAAATCCAATCCCCTGTTGCATCAATCACATCAGTTTTATCCTTTTCATAATCAAGCACCACTATTAAATGTGCTCCTAAGGGAAGACAGTCCCAGAATCTCATTGCTTTAACTCGTAGATGCTTCTAATTTCCAGTTCATGCTTAGTCATGGCCCGTTTGTTAAACAGCAAGTACCTGGCACAGAAGCAAGAAATTTAACACAGTTTTCTTAAAATAACCACCCAGAAATCCTATCCACAAAAAAAAAATGCTGAGGTTGCAAAAGGGAACGTGCAAGGTCAGGTAATGATAATGGGGAGGCCCAAGCTCACACTTGCCTCTGCCTTGTAGTACAGACTTTACATAATCACCTGCCGTTAATCTTGTATGATCCAGTTGAGGTACAAGGCAAAAGTACTCACAGAACAAAGGAACTTCTTTGCTATTCTGCTCCATAATATTCATTGTGTAACCCTCTGTCTCTTTTGCCAGGTATAACTAACCCTGAGCTAAACATTTGACTCTTTTCCCCTTTCTTGGCAGGCTTTTCCATGCCATTGATTGCTTTACTGTACAAGCCATTACCTGCCCAGCATCTGAGAAGTCAGTGAGTTGCATTGCCCCATTTCACAGGTTAGGAAATGAAGCATGGAGCTATCAGCTATATCAACCCATACAATCTTGTCCAGTTAGTTAATCAGAGTGCACAATGAATGGGCAGAGAAGTAGAAATAGGTCAGTATAGGCTGAGGTGCAAAAACTCTGTGTCACCCATTGCAGCACCCATTAGTTGTGGCCCAGCCCACAGATGGTGATGGCACACAGAATTGTTTGTGCACACTTCGATTGGGTCACAGCCACGCAGCAGAACCAGAGTGACTAAGAAGGAAAGCTCACTTGACAAAAACAGGTTTGCAACTAGGACACCAAAAATCTCATGTTTGCTTATTTAACTTGGCAGGTATTCAAGTGAAACAGGCACAGAGGGGAGGTATCAGAGCTGATCTCGGTACCAGCGTGTAGGGTTTTGACTTTCTATTTCAGTGCTCCTGTTTGGAAAAGAAATGCACTCAGAACCCCCCCTCCTTTTTTTTTTTTTTTTTTTTTTTTTTTAAGCACTATTAAATGTCATAAGAATCGTACAGTGCCCATCTTAATGTTCCTAACAAATTAAAATATTTTATTAGTCTATAATCTGAAAATCATTACCGTGGTTACTATAAAAACCTGAAGCTCTCCAGAGGGAACAATGTCAACGTGTCTAAAATGTATGCAAATATATTTCATTGCCATAAAGGTACCAGGGGTCAGACAGACAGCCCCCAGCCCCGGGGCAACAGGCTGTTAGCGTGGGAGGGAATGAAGAAGAGGGAGAAAGCTGATCTCTCAGCTGGCTTTCCTGGAGTTTTGCAGGGTGGATGCCTGCGGCTGTGTCTGGCTGGTTTGGATGGTTTCAGAGGAAAGCGTTGGTGCCGTTCCCACGCACCTCCCTCGTGGTGAGGGTAAGGAAGCGCTCCAGACAGCTCACCCCCATCAGGGATGAGCCGCTCTGAACCTCTGGTCCCATCCTGCTAACTCAGACAGGGCAAGTGCCTGTTCCCCTCGGGCATCCACATGCCCCTGGTGCCCCCTTCCTCCTGCAGACGACTCCGGATGTGTCCCTCCGAATAAGCGATGCCTAACGCAAGGCAGGCAGGAGACAGCCGCATCCAGCTCTGGGAAAGCAGCCCATACCCGCTGCCCCAGGCCGCTGGCACCCGGAGAGGCTGGGTGACAGAGTGGCCTCTGCTTTGGCCAGGTGACACCAGACACTCCCAGAGCGGCGGCTCCTGAGCCGGTCCCTTGCCCCGCGCAGAGCCAGTGGGCTCCTGCTGGTGACTCCTCACCGGCTTGGGCAAGTGTCAAACGGTTCAAAGATTAATTACCGTTTAACCGGCTGTGCTTCCATCTCTGCAGAAGGCTGCAGTGGAAAAGACAGAAGTACTGGGATAATTTACCCTGGTATTACACAGCA